GGAGGAGCGGCCGCGCTTCCTCTGCGGCGTGGTGGAAGGTAGGTCCCTGCGGGGCCCGGCAATACCTCCCGGGCATTGCAGGGGTTTTCCGATCCACCCGAAGTGAAGCGGGGTCGGGAAGGGCCCCAGGTTGTGGAGGAGGGGGGAGTGGGGCCCCAGCACAGCATCCCATCTCTGCCAGGGGTCTGGAGCAGCGGCAATGGGATGCTCCCAGCTCTCCCCATTGAGCCCTGCAGCCACCTCAGCAGAGCCAAAGCCCCCGGAGGGGCACGGTGACCCTCTGCTCGGCCCCCAGAGCTCCACACGGGGTTCTCAGGGGCAGCTTCCCCATGTGTCCCCCCTGCCCACCCTGCCCATGGGGCAGAAGTGCAGGACCCGTGCCCAGAGCTGGCCAGGGAGAGCTCTGTGCTTCTCCCTCCCCACATCCCCAAATCACTCTGGAGCTGAGCCAGGCTTGGCACCCATCAGGCAAAATCATCTGCCCTTCTCCTGGCAGCACCCCCGTGAGGGGCACTGCCCACTGCCTCACCTGAGAGAAAGCAGGAGCACCATGCAAATAAATGCAAAACAAACAGGAAATGCAGGGGTGGAGAAGCTGGCATGAGTCAGACAAGAATCACTGATATAGTAGAGCTGACCTGGGAAAGAGGACAGGGATGATGCTGGCAAATCCATTCCAGGAGAACACTGCTGGCAGGGCATGTGCAGGACTGAGTGGCCTCCTTGGCAGCCCACATCAGTTCACAGCAACACGTGCTGTCAAAGTGTCACTTGCAGGTGCCATACAGGGACCCTGGGGACCTCGCTGCAATCTCAAAATAGCAAATTATTTACCACAGAAATAGCTTTTCTTGGGCGAAGTATTTGCTGGGATTCTCAAGTGGCCACAAATTTGGCCCGGTGCACAGTGGGGGATGGACAGCAAGGTGACTGTATTTTATTTTAAAGTATATGGAATAACCATGTAGGTGTTTAGGCAGGTAGAAAGTCTGTTTGCAGAGAGAAGACAGATGGAGAGTGGGTGTTGCTGTGGTGCAACCCCCCTCACCATTGCCCAGGACTGCTGCTGGGGGATGCAGGGTGGGCTCCTGCCACAGGGAGCCGAGGGAATGAGGGCAGATGAGCTGTGGGACACTCAGGTGCTTCCCTGGGTGACACTGGCCTCATGCCAGACACGGAGAGCTGCTCCTTTCTCCCAGCTGAATGGAGTCAGTGCAGCCTGCCCCTGTGCACCGCCCAGTTTTGGGAATGCCGTCACTTCCCAAGTATCTGCTCCCCTTGGCCCTGACTGCTGGAAGGAGCAGTGGCTGACTCAAAAGTTGCCCATGATGCAGAGAGAAAGCAGGAAGATGCCTCACTGTCCAAGATGTAATGGATTTTCTGTGAGAATTCCCATCGCAGCTGCCAGATCTTGCTGAGAATTTAAGTGGCTGAAGGTTCTCCTCTTGCTAAATTTCACGTCTGTGCTGTTAACCTCCACTTTGAGGAGCAGTCAAACCTGCATCTCTCCAAACCCATTTATCAGCCTGTTCCCAGGGGAAGGGCTTTGTGTTCCTCTGGTTATCCTCAATTCCTGGCTCTGCAGACAGCTCTGCACCTCCCAGATCTTCCTACAAGCAGAAATAGGAAGGGCTCTTCCTTCAAAGTGGTCCCAGCAGCAGAATGGGTTCTGCATGTCTGGCAGTGCATCTCTGCGTCCAGGGATAGCTCAGGGAGAAACTGGTTTAAGGCACTTTCCAACAACACCGTTTTGCCTTTTTTTCCCTCCCTTTTACAGGTTTCTATGGGAGACCATGGTCAATGGATCAGAGGAAACTTCTCTTTCAATGGCAAGTACCCTGAATTTTCCTCTCTGAAGGGGCGGTGGCAGCCAAGGGGCCTCATGCTTCTTGTAGGGCTGCTCCTGCAGTGTCCCCCTGTCCCAGCGCTCTCGCGGATCAGCGCTGGGCCGGGACGGACAGACGGACGGACGGACGGACGGACGCGGGGCCGCCCGGTGCCGGCAGGTGGTGCTGGGGCTCCGCACATCGCGGTGTAGCCCCATCAGCAGCAAGCCAGGACACCAGGAGGGCAATTCCAGCCTCCCCCCTGAGCACAGGTGGCTGCAGTGTCCTGAGGCTGCCATCCCTGCCCGGTGTGGGTGGCCCTGCTGTGTCCCTGTGAGTCCCCATGCATGTCACCCTGTGTCCCTGTGACAAAAGGATGTGCTCAGGATCTGTCCTGGGATGGGAGATCTCTGTGCAGCTCCTCTCCAGGCAGCTGCTGCCCATGCACAGGCTGTCAGTGGGATGAGCTGCACCGACAGGACCTGCAGCAGTGAACTGGGGCTCTGCAGGGCCTCCCGTGGGCAGTGCAGTAGTGACAGTGTGGGCAGGACCAAAGTGCAGGGACCAGAGGTACAGGTACAGAAAATGGAAGGAAAACAAGCTGTGATGTTTTAAAGAACCTGAGGAGTGAGAAGGGCTAATGAGAGCCTTGTCTGGTGCTGGACTGGGATGTGTTCACGTGGTGGCACATGAGGGTGACATGTCCATCAGTATTTTTCTTATCTGGAAAGAAACAAAATAAGGGACTTTTATCATGAGCTACCTGAAGTGCTTTCTACCCTGTTCACCGTGGGAAAATGTAAAATATTGTGTGCTGAGGAGGATAAATAGAAGCAAATGAATATATCAGATGGCTTTCCATACAGAAGTGTCAAAAGAGGGAGGTGTCTGCCTTCCCAGAGGGCACATCCTACACAAACCTTAGAGCTCAGCACTGGGAGCACTGGCTGAGATTTCTGTCTCCACGTGGCTGTGCAAAGAGCCCTTGTGGAGCCTGGGTCACTCCTTGCTCTCCCTGCACAGGCTGCAACGCCGGGAGCTGAACTGCTACATGTACGCGCCCAAGGATGAGCTGAAGCACCGGCTGCTCTGGAGAGAGCCCTACACAGAGCATGAGGCAGGTAGCGGCTCTGCTGGGCCCCTCGGGGGGCTGCAGGCATCCCAGGTCCCTGAAGGGAAAGCATGGGCCGTGTCCCAGCTATTTCCATCCTGCCAGGACCCTGCCCATTGCATGGAGGCCCCCAGACCTTGCTAAGGGCAAGAAAACTCCCAAATTGTGCCCATTGTATGGAATTGCCTAAAGCACCACCCAGCTCCCCATGTGGAACTGGATGCTTGAATATACCCAGGCCCACAGACCGTTGTCAAAAGTCCTCTGTGTCTTAAGGGAGTGGAAATGGCCTTCTTGGAGCCTGTCCCCTCCCAGTGGCCTCAGCTCCTTCCTTTCAGAATCCTGGGGTTCACTCTCCCTCCACCCTTCTTCTTGCTCCATCCCCTGTCCCCCTTCATATCTTGTCCTGCTCCATTCCTTGCCCCCTCCATCCCTTGTTCCCCTCTATCCCTTATTTCCCTCCATCCCTTATTTCCCTCCATCCCTTGTCCTGCTCCATCCCTTGTCCCACTCTACCCCTTGTCCTGCTCCATCCCCTGTCCCCTCCATCCCTTATTTCCTTCCATCCCTTATTTCCCTCCATCCCTTGCCCCCTCCATCCCTCGTCCCCTCCATCCCTTGTTCCCATCCATCCATCCCTTGTTCCCCTCTATCCCTTATTTCCCTCCATCCCTTGTCCCACTCCATCCCTCGTCCCCTCCATCCCTTGCCCTGCTCCCTCCTGTACCTCCCAGCTCTCACAGACCCCCTGTGCTCTGTCCCCAGCCTGCATGCGGTCTCTCATCGAAGCTGCCCACGAGCAGGGTGTGGAGTTTATTTTTGCCATTTCTGCTGGCCAGGACATGGTGTTTTCCAGCGCTGGGGATCGGCTCCTGCTGCAGCAAAAACTCAGGCAGGTACCGTGGGCCATTCCTTCATCCCACTGCTCCCAGACAAGGGGCACACATGTTTATGTCACCGTGCCATAGTGACAGAGAGCTAAGGGCTCCATGGATGCCTAAGTGAGGGCAGGAGAAGGACCAACCAAGCCCCAGAACTTGCTGGGCAGCACTGAGGGCTGGCACAGGCTGGAGCAGAGCCCCGGGTCCCCAGAGATTGCAGAGAGGGTGGGGTTGCTCTGTGGGCATGGCCCAGGCAGGAGCTGCCCCATGCTGTGCTGTGCCCAGATGCCCCTCTCCAGCCCCGTGGGGCTCTCTGCTGCCCGGGGATCCCAGCAGCCCCTGTCTGTGCCCACAGGTGGCTGCCATGGGGTGCCGCTCCTTCGCGCTGCTCTTTGACGACATCGACCCCTGCATGTGCCAAGCTGACAGAGATGTCTTCCCCTCCCTGGCACAGGCTCAGGCCTCTGTGGCCAACGAGGTGTACCAGGAGCTGGGCCAACCCTCCGTCTTCCTCTTCTGCCCTACAGGTACTGCCTACAGCCCTACAGCCCTACAGCCCTACAGCCCTACAGCCCTGCAGCCCTACAGCCCTGCAGCCCTGCAGCCCTACAGCCCTACAGCCCTGCAGCCCTGCAGCCCCAGCCACCCAAACCGGGGAGCCCCCTCAGATTGGGGTGCCCTTTGGCTGCACCCAACCCCTGTCCCTGCTGAGAGCTGAGTGCCCTGGCAGCCCCCACAGCTCTCCCCGGACTCCTCACGCTCCCAGGGGAGCTCTGGACATCTCAGGACTAGACTGCATCAGGGTTCCTGTCCATGATCCCGGCAGCCCCTCCTCTCCTGGTCCCCAGCTCTCAGGGGATGCTCTGTGCTCTCTCCCCAGAATATTGCAGCTCGCTCTGCTCTCCCAGCCCCAGCCAGTCCTGCTACCTGCAGACCATTGGCCAGGAGCTGCTCCCAGGGATTGGTGTCATCTGGACAGGTGAGCGCCAGGACCAGCTCTGGGTGTGTGGCCACAGGCGGTGTCTGCAAACCCTGTGGCCACGGGCTGGCCTGGGAGAGCCACCAGCTGTGGTGCCTCACATTGGGGTGTGCAGCCCCAGCCAGGCAGGAGTTTGAGCTGGGGGTCTGCTCTCCTGACTTGGGAGTGTGGGTGTGGTGACTGGAACCTCACCTCTGTGTCCGTGTCCCTGCTGTGTGTCTGTGATGGACCCTGTGCCCCACGTGTGTCCCTGCCCTGGTGCCCCAGGCCCAAAGGTGGTGTCACAGGAGCTCTCAGTGGTGCTGCTGGAGGAGGTGGAGGCTGTCCTAAAGCGTCCCCCCGTCATCTGGGACAACCTCTACGCCAACGATTATGACTGCAGACGTGTCTTCCTGGGCCCCTACATGGGCCGTGCTCCTGGCCTCATGTCCAGGCTCCACGGGCTGCTCCTCAACCCCAACTGTGAGCTCCAGGCCAACTTCATCCCCATCCACACACTGGGCACTTGGTTTCGGAGCGAGCTGGGGAGCTGTGCCCACCCTGACCCTGCAGGTACCTGGCCCCCGTGCCTTGGCAGCTCCGTGCCTGCCCATGGCTGCTCATCTTCACCCAGCCCTGCAGCTTTCCTGCACAGAACCAGGGCTGCCCAGGCTGATGAGCTGTGGTTCCTCAGGAACAGAGGTGGTGGCAGCCTTGGGGGACAACCAAGATGCTCAGGATGGAAGCTACAGCCCCCAGGAAGCCTTGGAACTGGCGCTGCGTGACTGGGTGGCCGAGATAAACCAGCAGGCCTTGGAGCCAGGTACACAATGGGTGCAGCATCCCTCAATCCCTGGAGTGCTGGATCAGCTCTGTCAGGAGTGGGTGGGGGGTGAGGGAGCCCCAGCCCTGCCCATCTGGAGGGTCTCTGGGGCTGATGTGGCAGCAGGGCCATGCATGCCATGGTGGGCAGGTGTGGGTGTTCATCCTGCTGTGCTCCCATGGCCGCATCCTGGAGAGGCTGGAGAGGGTTTCCTTGGCTGGCAGAACTGGAGCCTGGGCCAGCTCTGGAAGAAGAGGTCAGCCAAGGGTGAGCTTGGTGTTTTGTAGTGTTTGCCTCTGCAAAGCCACAGCCTCACCAGCCCCAGGGGTCTGAACTCGAGCCCAGGATGCTGGCAGCTCAGGGATGGAGGTCCCCTGCACTGTCCTGCCCCATGGGCAGTATTTCCCATGTGGATGCCAAAGGAGCTTCCCTCTTGTTCGTTTCTGCCAGGAGGAAGGACCCCAGGACACCCCAGTGTCAGCCTCAAGGGAGGACCAAGGCTGCAGCCTGGCACAGTGGGAGGACAGGAGGTCACTCCCCACCCTCAGCCCCACAGCTCTGCTCCTGGTGGGGCAGATCAGCACAGCCCTGAGCCCTGCCAAGTGGCACCAGAGGAGGGGTGCAGGGAGGTGACCTCGGAGCCCAAGAAGGACAGTGGGAACAGGACACCCCCTGGCCATCAGCAGAGCCCTACAGGGGCTGGGGAGCAGCTCACCACAGGGAGCACAGAGAGCTCTGAGCCCTCCTCTGCTCTGCCCAGTGTGGCTGGGAGTGCCCAGTCTGAGGGAATCCCAGCGGCCACCAAGAGCCTCCCCAGCCCCACCACGAGCTCCAGCAATGGGAACAACACCAGTCAGAACATTTCCTTGCCCACCAGTGATGCCAGGACAGGGAATGGCAGCCCTGTCCAGTCTCCCAGCAGCACCCAGCCTGAGGCCATCGGGACTGATGTGCCCCAGATACCCCCAGGACCTGGGGCTGCTGCCAGCCCTGGTGCCCCAGCCCCACTGACTGATGAGGCTGGTGCCAACCCTGGTCCCATGGCACCAGTGACCCCAGAGGAGGCCACAACCAGCCCCACAGCACAGGTGACCCCAGAGGAGCCCAGGACCAGCCCCATGGCAGCAGTGACCCCAGAAGAGGCTGGGTCTGGCACCATGACCCCCAAAGATGCCAGGACCAGCCCCACAGCACAGGTGACCCCAGAGGAGGCTGGGTCTGGCCCCATGACCTCCAAGGACACCAGGACCAGCCCCACAGCACAGGTGACCCCAGATGAGGCTGGGTCTGGCCCCATGACCTCCAAGGATGCCAGGACCAGCCCCACAGCACAGGTGACCCCAGAGGAGGCCAGGACCAGCCTCATGGCACCGATGACCCCAGAGGAGGCTGGGTCTGGCCCTATGGCACTGATGACCCCAAAGGAGGCCAGATCCAACCCCACAGCACCACCGACCCCAGAGGAGGCCGTGTCCAGCCCTACAGCGCCACTGACCCTGGAGGAGGTGCGGATGCTGGTGGAGCTCTTCTACCTGCCCTACCACCACGGGGCTCTGGCACAGGAGCTCCTGGAGCACTTTCGGTGGCTGCGGGCTAACAGCCTCAGCGTGGGGGTCCCGGCCACGGCGCCTGATGCCTGCGGGGTAAGACTGGTCATGGTGCTGCTGCAGGAAGGTGGCTGCCGTGGCTCGTGTGTCCCCCAGGTGGCTGACACCCCCGGTGTGTCCCCAGGGCACGCGGTGGCGAGGCCGGGCTCAGTCCTTCCAGCTGCTCTGCTCGAGGATGTGCCGCCTGCACAGCCGCTTTGTCAGCACCGCCAGCCGGGCGCTGCTCTACGACCTGCACCCCTACCTCTGGGACATCCGCAACATGCTGCTGGCCGCCAGTGCCTTCGTCCTCTGGCTGGGTACGTGGTTGGTGCCAGCCCTGCCAGCCCCTGGCAGCCCCCATCACACCCATCCAAACCCGTGCTGGAGTGCCAGGACCCTGCGGCACTGGGCACACCATGCGTGTTCTCTGGGCTTCCACTGCTGCCCCATGAAGGAGGTGAAGGTGTCTGGGAGCCACCCCAGAGGTCTGGGGTTCCAGTGTCCAGCTGGTAGTGCCAGGGTTCCTCCTGGGAGCTCACCTCCCCCTGACACCTTTTCTGCTGCTGACCTGTGTCCTGTGCTCACCCCCTCTCATCTCCTTTGCAGATGGTCACCTCCTCTGCGACCCTGACCCCAAGGGCACCTGGGGGAACTGCTTTGGCTGTAAGTACAGGCCCTGCCCCGGCTCACCCACCTGGGTGGGGGGTCTGGCTGCTGCCCCCCATCCCCTCCAGCCCCACAGCCGCAGCCAGCACTCACCATCAGGCTGCCCATCCCCACACTCTGCCTGCTGAGTGGAGCAGGAATTGCCCTGGGAATGACACTGGGGCAGGATGAGGCAGTGCTGCTGGGGATAGGGCAGTCATTGGAGCAGATCTTCACCATATCTCACAGCCATTTCTAGGATATGGTTCCTCAGTCTTTTTATCCCAAATACCCCTTAGCCTGTGTGGAAAAAGGATTCTGAGAGCAGTAATGCCCTGGGTGACAGGTGGGGCTGCTTTTTTGAATGCCTGTGCATCACTTTGCAGTTTTCCTCTGGTTTAGGGCTCCCTGGTTGCTCTGTGGGCCTTGTGACCTCTTACAAACCAAAAACTGTCACCAGGTGATGACCTGAGCGGGTGTCCCAGTTCAGTGTGAGAGGGAGCCGTGTGCCTTGAGCCCCTTCCCTAGGGAAGCAGCGTGCAGGGCACATTCTCACCACCCTGGGCTGCAGAGCTGGGGGACAGGTCCTTGGAGCTGTGACAGCAGGGATCTGTGTGGCAGAGGCTGATCTCCCCTTGGCAAGCAGGCTTTTGTTCACCTCACATGTGTCTGTGTCCTGCTGCTTCCAGGGTGCCAGAGTATCACTGCCCCCATCCTGCTGGGGAGGGACGCCGAGCCCTGGGCGCGTCGCGGGGGTCTCTTTGGAGAGCTGCAGGTGAGAGTGTGCCCCTCGCTCTGGGGCTGAAGGAGACATTAGGAAGTCAGAATCCCAACCCTGCTGTTGAGCTGCTGCAAACTTGGCAAGGCAGAGCTGCCCTGGGTCTCTTCAGCTCAGCTGTGGTTCCTGGGGCTTCAGGAGTCTCAGAGTCATTCTCCTGCTGCCTCCAGGACAAGGTTTGGAGCCAGGACAAACTGATGGACTGTATCTCTTCCAGGCACTGCTGCCCGTGGGGAACAGCTGTGACCTCTTTTACCATCCACCCCCGCTCTTCCCATCCAGCCAGCTGTACCTGCTGCGCCCGCTGCTGCCCCTGGACAAGGTGAGTGCCATGGCATGGAGGAGTGTCCTGCCAGAGCCTTTGCATGGCTTGTGCTGCCCATAAAATGATTCATCTGCTGCTGACCCCAGGCTGAGCTCCCAGTGTGGGGTGACACAGATGGGGAGGGTCCTTGGGTCCAGATCTGCTCAGAGCCAGCTGGTCTGGGACAGCTCTTGGGGCTGTGGTCAGCAGCGTGTCAGACCCTGGCCTGGAGAATGCTGTGGCCTCAGCAAATCCACCTCTCTGTGACAGGCTGGGCAGAGCAGGAGAGGGAGCCCCCTCAGCCATGGATAAACCAGCACCAGGGCAGGGTTGCCAGGTTGGGGATGATCTCCAGAGCAGCTCCAGTGCTGATCTCCAGCACTGGCTATGAGCAGATATCAGGAAAAATCCAGAACAGGACAAGTCTGGATGGCAGCCTCCTTTCAGCCTTCACCAGTCTGCAGCTCTGGGCACTGCCAGAGCCTGTGGGGATCCATCTCCAAACGCCTTCTTCAAACATTCATCCAGTTTACAGGGTGATTCCCTGCTGGAGAGCAGCAGTTTCTGTCAGCTGCATCCTGCTTGGTGCCAGCCCCCTGCTCTGACATCCCAGCAGCTCGATGGGACGGTGGGGGAAAGGGACAATCTGGATGTGGGGGGACACACAAGTTAAAGTGCTGCCAAATCTAGCAGAGCCCCAGGTTCCCCATGTACCTGCAGCGAGCACTCCTCTCCCTCACCCTGCTCCTCTCCTGCTCAATACCACAAATCCATCCACCACAGACACGAGTGCAGCTCATCTGCTCAGGCTGAACCTTGACAACAACAACGTCTGTGTCCAGTGAACCTCTGAGAGGAAAAGCCAGCTGAGCCCATCGGCCCGTTGCAGGAACAGGCACAGCAGGGCATGGTCCTGCCCCAGTTGTTGGGTGATCAGAGCAGCCTCCCCTTTCAGGAGCAAGGCTTTTATCAGAATGTTTGCAGCAGCAAACTCAACTGTGACCAAGACAGGACATTTGAGGATGTCCTGCTGTGCTCAGGCTCTCTGGAGACCTGAGTTTCAGTGTTGTTTTTGGTGCCGTTCTGGCTGCTCTGAGCGTGCTCCGGCCTGGGGCCGTCTCTGCAGTGGCTGCTCTCGGGATGCCTGACCGGAATGGCAATTTCTGGTTTGAAGGCTGGCTGTGCTGTGGCAATGAGCCCGAGGCCAGCAGAAGGTGGTGGCTGGCATTGTGGCATAGCAGGCACAGCCAGGGCTGACATGGATCCGGGTCTTCCAGGGAGAGCTTTACCGCATGTGCCGGGAGAGTTTGGACTGTGATCCTAAAGTGGCAGAGATCCTCGTGGCCCACCCGGATCTCCTCGGTGACAGGTGAGATGTGGCCCCTCTGAGGCTCCCTCTGGCCATTCTGTGCCGAGCCTGGACACTGGGGAGTGAGGTGATGGCCTCTCTTGGCATTCCTGTGGGGACCAGAGCTGCCCCAGGGCTGGCAGTGGCCTCACTGGGAGGGGCAGGGAGGGTCATCCCTGTGCTGATGTCCAGCAGGGTCATGGCAGCCACCGTTGTGGATGCCCAGCCTGGATGCTGGAGGCTGCAATGGCTCCTCTCAGCTGAGGGTTTCTACGGGAGGGGTCTGAAAGGGGTGGTCAGTGGGTGCTGGGTGTTGTCCAGCTGGGGCATGAAAGGAGAAGGCTGCTCTGAGGTTTCCCAGGGGCTCCAGGCTCAGCTCAGCCGTGCTCCCGCTCTGCCTGGCAGGCTCCTGGGCAGCTTCCTCAGCCTGAGCCCCGAGTACACCTTTGTGCTGGAGGATGAGGGTGGCCCCTGTGGCTACGCCGCCGGAGCGCTCCACGCCGAAGGCTTCCTGCAGCAGCGGGACAGCAGCTGGCTGCCGGCCATACGGCACAAGTACCCCCCAGACCTGGGCACAGGGAGCCCAGCTCTGGGACAGGTGAGGGGAGCAGAGGGGAGCGGGGATGGGAGAGGTGGAGGGGGCTCCCTCACTTGTGCTTGTCTCCCACAGGATGCCCTGGAGGAAGCAGTGCTCTTCTTCCACGCAGAGCCACTGGCAGTGCCCCAGCCTGTGCTGAGGCGCTTCCCCTCCCTGGTACAGCTGGGCACGGCCCCCCGTGTGCTGGACGTGGGGGCCAGTCGCAGCCTGGCCCTCTGCCTGCTGAGCGCACTGAGGGCCAACGGTGAGCATGACCTCTGAGTGCTGGCCCTTCATCCAGCACAACCCCATCCCAAGTGCTCCCTCAGCCACCAGAGCTGGGAGCTGTCCCCTCCCGGGTGCAGTCTGACAGTGCTCCTGGGAACTGTCCCCTCCCTTGCACCGGGGGACATGTGGACCTGTGTCTCAGGGCAGCACAGGGGCACTCTGTGACAAAGGGGCAGGCGAGAGATCAGTCCCCTTATGGAGAGGGTCCCTGGCACTGCGCCCCCAGTCCCAGCACTGGGGTCCCAGTGCCCTGACCTCTCGTCTCCTTTCCAGGGTCACGGGGAGTGTTCTGCCAGGTCAGTGATGCCGACCGGCAGCAGCTGAGCTTCTACAGCAAGCTGGGCTTTGTCGCCCTGCCGGTGGCCTGGGGCAGCTCTCCTGGCGCTCAGCTCCTGGGACGTCTCCTCTGACGGGGCACAGGGAGGCAGTGCCCCAGGACAGGCTGGTTCCCCAGGCCAGGCTGAACCCCCCATCCCACACAGCATCAGCCTGAGCAAGCGGGAGCAGAGGGGCACCTCGAGCAGGCCAGGTACCCATGAGAGGGGACACAGAAACGAGCAGGATGTCACTGGGATGTGTGCAGGGCTCTGAGGTACCTGGGTAGCAGAGAGCTATTTCTGCTGCTCACAGGATTTGGGCACCTCTGTGCCACCCCAACTGTTCCTGTTTGCTGGGTACCCTCCACCTTTTCTGGGGAGCCAGGCTGTCTGCAGACCCTCAGGCCTGCAGGAGCCCACGAGCAGTGTTTGGGTTTGTGGTCCTGGAGCACAGCACGGTGCCTCAGTGCTACAGGAGTGTCCCTGTCACGCAGGCTGGGCTGTCCAGCTCTCTCCATCCCCTGTGTGGCCTGGGCAGCCGGTGCTGGGGCTGGCTCTCGGCACTTCTTGTGCCTTGCTTGTCAGTATGGATTGATCTGCTATGGGATGCGGTGAGGCAGCCTCTGTTTTTGTGCCTGGGGCCTGAGGGAAGCGCTGTCCTTGGCAATAAAGCGTTTGCTGGGCTCTCACCATGGCTCCTTTCTTGGGGGAGTGTTGGGCTGCCAGCACATCCCTCTCACACCCTCATGCCACCCTCACGCATCTCACACTGGCTCTTGCTACAGTCGGTCTTGTGTCCCCTCACAAAAAAAAGCAGCTCCCCACACAATCCCGCTGCTCCCCAGCTTCACCGTGCTCCAGAAAGGTGCTCCAGTGTGAGCTGCCCAGCCCTGCAGGACTCTGCTGCGGGATGGGACCCCCGGGCTCGGGGGGGTCTGGGGGCCGCAGCCTGCCCAGGACAGGCAGGATGACGGGGGAGGGAAATCTCTCCAGCCATCCCACTGCAGCCTCTGGAAAACGGCAAACCATTCCTGGCTCTTTCCCTCTCTTGCCCTTCGGAGCTGGCTGCCCTGGCCACGGGGTGAGGAGAGGGCTGGGAGGGGTCGGGATGGCCCAAACCCCGGCCGTGAGGGCTCGCCTGGCAGCTCCCGCGGCTCCGTCCCGGCTGGGCCGAGGCCGGCCCTGGAGCCGAGCCCAG